AGCATCCAGGAATTAGCAGGAATTTATTGAGAGGTAATGAATTCCTGAGAGGACCTGTTTGGATCTAGCCACAGAGCATCAGCAGGGCTGGAACTGGGAGCATGCAGCTGCCTAACCTGTGAAGTCCATGCCTGTGGCAGCCCTGCTACAGTGAGCAGCTCATTGGAATAGACCTGGCTGTTCACAGCCCAGCTGCAGTAACTCACCAGAGCAGACAGCACTGCAGAACTGCTGCCTGTGTGCCCAGAATGGCTGGGCAAATCTGCTTGTTTGAACCCCTGAGCAATAAATGTCTATTAATTTTCCTCTTGCAAACAGCGGTGATATATGGCTCTTGCTGTATTTGCAGAGTTGCTGACCAGATGTTCTCTGATTAGTTTCCCATTTGTTTTCTTCTAAGTGACTTATGATGCTTGACTTAATTTTTTGTGCGTCTTGCATCTTTAGAAGCAGTATTGACAATTCATAAATATTTCCAAGGCTGATGCCTCAGCACGGATGCTGCATGGTTCCCACTGAAGCTATTTATAGAAGTACTCCAAGTTGTTGTGTGCTTGTTTCTACTATTGCTGACAAGGACCTGAACCCAAAGCACTCCAGTATACTTCACTCTCTCAGTGTAATTGTCACAAGAATCTAACCACAACTGGATTTGTTTGATTTTCAAGTTTCCAGGCATTTAGAGACTGTCTGTGCTATTTGTCACAGACAGATGCCCATCAATGGAAAAACAGGCATCAGCTCCTCAGCTGGCATACACTGGGTAATTCAGTTATGATCATTGAAATCACCAGTACTTTACAGCAGTGGTGGATCTTGCTCACTTCCAGAGCACCCATTGATTTTACCATAACTCTCAATTTCCTGGTGTTCAGCCATTTAAATGTCAGTGTATTTGACAATTTGGGAGGTTACAAGGCATTGGTGTGTCACTCTTGATGCTGTGTCAATGATGCTTTTGGGCAATGAATAATAACTGTGAGGTAGCTTGGAAATTAAACTCCTGATTTTATTCTTGTGATCTACTGAATTAACAATTAAATTTCAGATCATTAAAATACCTAAAGAGTCTGAGAGTGAAGAGGGCTCTGACTTAAAACATTAATAAACAGCATTAAAGAAGACAGCCCGTCAGCAAGGGGGTAATTGCCATGGCTTTGGTGCTGGAGCAAGGCTAAGGAATTCCAAATTTTGGAGGGGTTAAATTTCAGCACCCTCTCGCAGAAAGTATATCCTAACCTGAACTATGTTTCCAATCTCCCCCTCTTCATGAGATGCTCTTCCCACTGATATCCTCACCTTCTCCACTGTTCCTGCAGCAAAGCTGTTGGTGGGTATTGCATTTCTAGGGGACATTACTGTTCTTGGGCAACTCTTTGCATTTCAGCATCACGACATCAACTGCATGCTGTCGTCTGTGTACTCAGTATAATATTGCCACTTGAAATCCTTGTAATGAAATGATGAAGGTTCCATACAAGAGAAATTCTCAGCAGTGCCTATAAAACACCATTTAGGCAGATTTACAGCTCTCCAGCCAGTCTCATATGAAACAGGAGCTGTTGTTGTTTTGTGGTCACTTTATGCACACTGGTTTGCAGCACACCAGGGCTGTCCCTGGCTCCCCTCCATGCCCTGCAGAGGAACCCCAGCAGCGCTAGGGAAGCCTCTCACTGCTGCACGGGGTGCAAACAGAGTGTTGCTTCACTGCAGTGAGAGTGGGAAACGTGTTGGACTGTGAGTGTTTGAAATTAAAGGTTTCCTGTTGGTGTCGGTATGCCAAACTTTGCCCACAATTGATAAGCACAGAGGGTTGGCTTCAAACCCAGTTTCTTTAAATGGGGCTGCTGATAACATCTAAAAAGCTTAGAGATGAAAGCTAGTAGGGCCATGAGAGATATTGTTACTAAAGGGAGGTTTTGGCACGTATCTAAAAAAGAACGCACCCCCGATTATTTGTTCTTTCCCTCATTTTGTAGTCACCTAGCTGCAGTTCTGAACTTGTGCGTAAGAACTAGTGTATTACTGTTTGAGTTATTTCTGAGCTTCCTCTTTAGCATTACTAATTGACCCTGTGATGGATGCTTACTCCCCTTACTTTATCACAGTAATGTTGTTCTAGCTAATTCCCTGCTGAAGCAGCAGAGCTACCCATTAAGCAAGCGCTATGAGCAGATAAGGAACAGCAGTGTGATTTATGCATTGCATCAGGAAACAGGGACAAATATTGGCATCAAGGTGACTTATTTGCCCAGAATAAGCCCAGAAGCCCAGAGCAAAGAGGTCCACAGCAGGGAGCACCAGACATCAGTTCAGCGTTCTGTTGTAAGCAGGGAACTAAACAGTTTTTTCCTTCTCTAAGCAATGATCTGTTCAGTGCAGAGGATGCAAGAAAGAAGGCAGAAGAAAGCAGCCAGACACACTGCGTATCTGCAGTTCAAAATGGTAGATACAGAACAAGGAGGCCTACACAAGAGCCTTGGGGCTCACAGGAGATGTCTTGGGAATTGCAGGCTGGCAGGCAGCACAGGCAGAGAGGAGGCGATGCTGTGCCTGAGGCAGGGGCAGTCACATCAACGGGTCACTACAGGAAGCACAGCCTGGTTCCAGGTAGAGCACAAGGTCACCAGGACATAGAGAGACAGCCACAACAAGGTGCACATTAGCTAAGCTCTCTGCTTCAGCACTTTCTCATCTCACTGAGAGTAGGGTATTTGGCTCAGTGCTATGAAGAGGTTTGTCCCACCCTATGTGCAGAATCACTAACCTGCAAACTATTGTAGCACTCACAGAGGACTAGGGAGATGCTTAAAACAAAAATGAAACCAGGCAATAAAAAACGTGACTGATTTTTTCTTTTTTTTTTTTTTTTGGCTGTCTAATAACATGGTGAGTGATGATTTGTGTTTTTTTATTTGGATACTGACCATTTTCTTTGCTCCACCTTTCACAGCCATTATGATGATATGTTTCTTAGAATCACAGCTCTGTTATAGGTGATATTCCACCCAAATCCTTATGGGAACATAAAATAAGAATTGCTTTCCAGGGCCAGACCTGAGGTGTGTCTGTCCCTGCATCCTGTCACTAACACCTAAAAACAATGTAATAAACAAATGGGCATCTATAAGAGGGCTTCTCCTGCTTATTAGTGTGAGCTGTCCTCGAGCTACAGCCCACATCAACATCATTGTGTTTAATGGCCCCCTATGGTCCTTTCTTCCACAAATTTTTTAATTGCTTGCTGAGATCATTTTGGTTTTGGCCTCCTCAACATCCTGAGTTCCAAAAGATAAAAGCGTGTTTTGTGAAGGACCACATCCTGCTTAATTTACAAGAATAAATGGGATCAGGCACATTCAGGATAGGAGAAATGGAGCACCACAGACCTCCTAGATTTACAATAGTGCATAGTGCTAGTGCTAGTAGGGACTGACAAGTCCCTACTGTTGCCTATATACCCACCTTAATGTGCTTCTCTTCATATGGTACTACAGGATATAGAAATCCATATGGTAGGAAGCAGCCTCAGATTGTTCCAGGAGAAGTTTAGGTCATATATCAGGAAGAACTCCTTCATAAAAAGGGTGGCAAGGCATTGGAACGGGCTGCCCTTGGAGGTGCTGGAGTCTCCATCCCTGGAGGTATGTATTTAAGAGATGTGTAGACATGACACTTAGGGACATGATTTAGTGGTGGAACTTGGCGATTTTAGAGATCTCTTCTAATCTAAGTGATTCTTTCAATCTATGCACAGCTTTAAATAGAGGTAAGCAATCAGCACTCAAGTTGCCTTCTCTCATGAGACCACCCCATAAGTGAAAATGAAAGACAGAAGTCAGGCAAAGTGTGTCTTCATGTCCTCCACGCCGAAGGGTAGCTTACTCTAAAGTTATGTCAAGTCATTTAAAGCAGAATTTACTTAGCCTGATGTTTCCTCGGGGGATTTTTCAACTGCTGAACTGGGCTATGTCCTGCTAGCTTTGGAAGTGATCAGGCACTTATTCTATTTCTGTGTTTTTGAAATACTCGTGAGAGATCTGTCTGGAGGCTGGAGTTCAACAGGTGTTGGACAGTGTTCTCAGATACACAGTTTGAATTTGGGGTAGTGCTGTGTGGAGCCAGAAGTTGAACTTGATGATTGTTGTGGGCCCCTTCCAACTCAGGATATTCTGTGATTCTGTGATCTTTTAAGCACAAACTACCTGAAAGCTAAGCAGTGACCCTGGGCTGCTTCTACATGGTATGTGGTGCTCCATTTTCTGTAGCATCCATTTTCTGAGCAGCTTGAGTTGATGTTCACAGCAGTTAGATGGATGTGAGCCAAAGCAACAGATCAACAGATCCTGGAAGGAGGGTTGAGTCAGGGCCAGAGCAGGACTTGTCCATGGTTGCAGGAAGGGGAAAGTCTCAAGTGCAGACACGAGGATGTGGCATTAGTGAAGCTGAGCCTGTGACTGGGGAAAAGCAGAAAGAAGGGTCACAGCTGGGAAGGCTTCACAGGAGCGAGCAAAGCTTCCAGACAGAGGATACTTAACTCTGAAGCAGGCTGTGACTTCTAAATACTGGTTCTACCATGAGAGACCAAACCCTCTCCAGCGCTGTTCTGCTGCCACAGATGCTCCATAGCTCTGAGACACCTCTGTGCACAGTGTCTGAGGGTGGATACCAACAAAAGGTAAAACAGAGAAATGCTAACGCTTCTGAGAGGCTGAAATGTTGCCTTAAGCTCCTTGGGTGTCAGCACTCTTACCTGCAAGAGGAGCAGCCCAACTCAGCAGCTCACAGTACTGTGAAATGCAGTCAATTAATGCACGGAATGCTTCATGAGCTATTGAAAGCACCATGTCAATGCTAAATATTATTATTGAATTACAGCATGATTGAAACAAATTGATTTGTTAGGAAAGTTTCAATGAATCGTATTCATAACAAATTCCATTTAATTTACAACAGTGACTCATTAACTGGCTCTTCTGCTGATTTATTTATACATCCTGCTGAAAAGATAACTGATTTTAAAAATTAGATCTTAAGATAACTGAGCTTCAGAACTGTGGGATCAAGAATTTTCTAAGAAGTATAGTGGTATGAATCCATATTCAGATATCCCATTTTCCATCAAATTTAATCCCGATGAAGGTTGTGCAAAGCACCTGCAATAAAATGTGCCTTTTGTTGAGTTCTCTGAGATTGCCTGAAAATACAGTGCTTCTCCGAAAGACCAGTGCTTCATTAAATTTGATCCAAAATTAAATGTAACATTTTCTGATTCTCTGCAGGCTTCACTATGCAGGGTAATTAGAAGCTATGAAATATCAAGTACCAGAAACCCATATCACTCCTAGACTGAAACCATAAATAAATGTGTGTGAGCTCATTCTCAGGGGGAACAGTTCAAATTGCAAGATGGAATAGTTTAGGATGATATCTTTGCCTTATTGTGCCTCAGTTTCCCTCTTTGCAACAGAGAGCCAGGGCTACAGCCCTTATAATATTAAAGAGAACATAGTTGGGGTATTTGGATGAAATACACAACAGCAAGGGATGGGAGCAACATTGTCACTACTAGAGGGTACCACTGTGTCCCTCTTGTGTTCTCATTCTGATTGCTCTGTTATGCCAATACTATTTCAGACCCCCACAACTGTCTCTGTTCAGTAGCTGAGACATGAGTGGCTGCAGCTTCTCCCCATTTCCTTGCTGACCTTACAGAAGTGTGGGTTTGAGTTTATTGCCTTAATGTAACCCTGCTGGTTTCCAGCCAAGGAGCTGACTGCATCTTCCCTACCTCTTCAGTTTCCTTCCTTAGTAGCTGAAATCTCAAGCTAGCCTCACACTTAATAGTTCTGCTTCAGAGGTAGAACATAGGCTTCTGGAAGCTGACCATGTTCTTTTCTCCACTGCAGGGCCAATCCTCCAAAAGACCTTCACCTGAAGATGGTGACATCCTCTGCCATGCCTGGGTTTGGGAATTCCAACTGCAGGCCGCAGGCCAGGTCAAGAACATCGAGAAGACATGTTCGTATTTCCAGATCCAGTACCAGACACAGCTCTGCAGATATGAAAAAGAAACCACCCTTGTCAGGGTGTCCCAGGAAAGGACAAAGAGCAACACTGGGAAGGTGGTGGCATCTGTGTCCTTGCAGACAGCCAAGGACAAAATCCAACCAGACAAAGCACCGAGCAACCTGCTCAGCACTTCACTTAGTGAATAACCAGAGATTCTATGCAGAATCTCAAGTCCTTGAAGCTGTTCTGCAGTTCCCTAGCAAGTAGTCACTCCCCACCTTACCCTTAGGACAGTTTTTCTTCACAGCCAATCCCATTTCAGTATCAGGGAGTTGAATTTGGCCTTACATCTGATGATCTCAGAAGGGTTCATTAGGTCAGGAAAAAGGTTTTTGGGGAGCTTCACTAGTCACAAAACTCCTAGTCCAGCATCACCACGAGTGATGACAGCTTGTATCAAACACTCATTATTAGCAGTAGTGCATTAATGACCGAATCCAAAGCAAAATGCTGCCAAGGAACAAGTATTTAACTACTGCCGGAAACTGCAGAGACAAGGCTTCTTTTGGCAAGAAGGCAATGAGATTAAGTGTGTTGAGTTTTTTGTTGTTGTTGTTGTTGCTGCAGTAAGGGAAGGGTCAGCAGAGAAGGTCAGATGGAGAGAGAGGAGAGAGAGAGACAACTGCACACGAGGTGACTGGATTGCAGGAGAGAGAGGAGGGACAGTAGGGACAAGAAAGACTCTTACAAGTTTGAGCTGGTTTAAGGAAGAAGCATCTCACCTCTTCGCAGAGAATTTACCTCCTCCTGCTCAGAAGCAATAAAGTCAAATAGAAAAGACTAAATGAGCTGGGATAGAAAATTCATACAGAGGGCTTCCAAGAGACAATTAAAGAAAATGGAAATTTCCTGTAAAACCAAATGTAAGAGGATGACAAATGCACTGGTCACCGCGAACAGTGGCACTGTGGTTATAGGTAGAGAGGATCCTGAATAAGGGCTATCTTCTCTCCCTCTCCCCAGACTGCAGAGCCCCTGTGATACCTGAGCCCACTGAGGGATGGGGAGCAGGTCATGTCAAATCAGGGCAGGACAGGGTCACTTGGGACTGCCATGAATGCTGATACAGGCTGGGATGCAAGGTGAATGCCATGGATACTGTCACACATGTCAGAATCTAATAGTTTTGCTGCTGTTGCTTTCACATAACACTGTGGCACAGTCTGGAAGAGGCATGTTGACCACAATTAACAAATAGGTTTATCAAATTAAAAAAAAAGGCAAGTACTGGCAATTCTTCAGAATTTTATACATTTTTTTTCCAAACCTGAAAAGAAACCCAGTGATACCTCTGAAATAACAGGAATGAGATGGTTGAAGTGTTGTATAAAGGCCACCTTTAAAACTTCCTTGTTATTTTCTGATCGTCATTTTTGATCTTCTTCAATCAAATGGAGCATCACTTACAAACTGATGAAAAGAGAACCTTCATCTGGTTATTAACTCCTTGATGAAAGACCTGTAAAAAGTGCATTGTTCATTTACACAGCTTTGGAAAATATTGAAAACGAACTAAATTCTTTATGAGGTACATGCCTTCTTGCAAGTTATAATTGGGCATACACACTGGAAAAGCAGACCAGCTACAGTTGCAGAGATGGAAACAGGGTCATGCAGCTGTCATTAAAATAAATGAGTTATTAAGCTCCTCATTTCCTTCTTTGTTACACCTGTAAAGGAGACAACTGCTGCAGGTCTCAAGGTTAGAGCTGGGCAACTGATTCTCTTTATTCTAGGAAAACAAACCAATAGAGAAAAACTCAAGGCCGAATATGTTTGTTCAACTGTGTCGCACGTCAGAGTGTTTCAGTTCCTCCCTCTCTGAGTAAAAGGGGGAAAACCAGAGGAACTTCAGTTTTTTCCTCCATATTGGCAAACCAGTTATTTATTTCTTTATGTATTTATTTTGGTTTCGAGCTACAAAGGTTACTTCAATCAGAATAAATGCGGCCTGCTTCTGCTGCCATTAAAACGTTTTATCTTTAGATGAGCTAAATGTTTGATGCAAATTTTAATCCAAATCGGTTTTATTTCTTTTTTCTCACACGAGAGAGCAAAACACAACTGAAAATTAATTTCAGGTATGTCTGAAACAAAGTCTTTTCTCCAGTCTCTCTGTTGAACCAGTGTACTACATAACCACAACAACAAAAAGGCCGACTAGCAATTACAAGCAACAGGGAGGGGATAACTGGCCTACATTTAAGGCAGTTATGACTCCCATTTAAGCCATGTCTTGGATTTCTACCACTCAGCACCTATTAACTTCAGGGCATTAAATCCCCAATTGTGTTGGAAACGCTCCAGTGCTGTGTAGCTGCATTGTAAACGTGCTCTCACACCTCAGCATTTGAATTGCTTTTGCTGTGTGTAGGTTGGAAAGGTAGGTAGGTCATTTTCCAAATGGCTGTACACACTTTCTTGTTTTGAAATACACAAATAAATAAATAAGTCATCAGGATAACGATCTTGGCTCTACCGTCCAGAATTTGCTCCTATTGCATTTTCCATTTCCTTCTGGGTGACAGCTCCTGCAGTGATGCTGGAATGGCAAACATCTGTATTCTGATCGAAATGCTTCAGGCCTGGCCGTGCAACAGTCATGCTAAACAGGAGAGCACAGAGTTAAAAATAAGATCCTTGGGAAACAAAAAGCTTATAAATCCTTAAATGCTTTTTTAATAAAAGGAAATTGCTGCAGGAAGTGATTCCTTATATCCCAGGCTCTGCCAATTGTTTCCAATCAGTGCAGCTTGGGGTAGCTATTATCTCACTAAGCTGTATTAATGTGTTTGTTGTTGCTGCCTTTCTTTTAAAACTAATCTATAGGCTAACTTGCAGTTCTACTGCTTAACTTGCGGTTTGCTCATCATTAAAAACTGTTTTGCATAGTTCCTTTCTCTGCTCTAATCCCTCACAGTAGCACATAAACCTCTCACTTCTCATTCCTTGCTGAACAGTTGGCAATTAGTAGGATGTGGTATTCCAGAATGCTTCTCCTGCCTTAAACTCTCTTCCCTCCCCTCAACACTAAGAGACTCAGGACAGCAAACCTGAAGGTTGGTGGCCCTGCCTGTGGCAGTAGGACTGGAATTTGATGATCCTTGGGGTCCCTTCCAACCCAAGCCGTTCTAGGAATCTATGAATAAGGACCTGAGCTCTTCTATGTAGAGCCATGTCTGCATAGACCTGTGTGCTAGGAGCCAATGCTCGGTGAAGCTGGTAGCATGGCCAACACCATCATGGGGCACAGGATGGAACAGAACCTTGCAGTGTGCAGCCTGGGACCACCTGAGATAAAGGGTAGATTTGGATGGCCAAGTTTCAATAATCGGCATTATATTGGCTTGCTCCAGTGAAATTTGTCTGTTCTTCATGCTTCTGGTCTCTAGAGAATCCTTTGGCAATGAATCCTGTAGATTAAAACATGCATTGTGTGAAAATGCACCTTCTCTGATTGTTTTAAAATGCTGTGCTGATATGAGCACTGGCACAGCTTGCAAAACAATGTTTTACTGGCTGAGTCAACTTCTGTATGAGCTGCACCAGAAAAATAGTTCTGCTGTGCTAACGAGGGTTGTACTTGGGTTGGGTATTAGGGTCAGGTTCTGCACCAGAGGGTTGTGGGCAAGGAACAGGCTGCCCAGGGCACTGGGAAAGGCCTCAAGTGCCAGAGTTCAGGGAGCGTTTGGGCAGCACTCTCAGACATTGGGTTTGGATTTTGGATGGGCTGCGTGGAGCCAGGAGTCGGACTTAATGACCCCTATGGATTCCTTCCAACTCAGGATATTCTGTGATTCTGTGATTCTATACTCTTTCAAGCAGAGGTGCACACAGTGACATATAGGTGTATATGTGACTGGACATCAAGAAGTCTTTGCATAGTCACACAGGACGTGAGGGATAAGGAAGAAACTGAGATTTTGTGGGGAATTACATCATTTATGGATATCCTCAAAAATTAGTTTGGGTCATGCTTCTGGACTGTCTTTTCCTGTGAAACTTCCTGGCCACTGTTGATTTGTGGGCCCTGCTGTTGTGTTATATTCTACAGTCTCACAAAATCTCCATCCAAGCAGATAAATGCATTATAATAGCTTTTTAACTGGTGAAGTCCTCAAGGCAGCAGCTGGTGATGAGATGAAAATGAGAGAATCTCTTCCTAAAAGTTTGTAAAAATAATAATTCGATTCAGTGCAGCAGGCAAATGGAAGTGTGTTGTCTCCAGGTTTGATGACAAACCTCTCCTGCTAGAAGCTAGTGCTGATGGATGGGCAGCCTCCAGCCCTCAGTCAGTGACAGGATGGCACTATTTCCAGCTCTTCCATCAGCTTCAAGCATCAGCTCTTTTTTAATAAGCTCTATAACCAAAAATTGATTCCTGCATTCCTCGAAAACATGAATTTCTGTTGCTTGGTGAGTGAAGTCAAAGGGAGTATTCGCGTGAATGGTTGTAGACTATTGCTTCTAAGTTGTAGGCTGTCTTTTTGGTTCATAGGTGGACACGGTCCATAGTGCAGTCCCAGCGCACAGTAGTGAGTGTGCAATGGCCTTCGTGGAAAGCCACAGAAAGAACAGTGTGCACGTGTAAATACAGCACACCACAGTAATATACACAGCCTTATCAAGAAGGAAATAAGAGACAGTGCATCAAAAATGGAACGTGGACCACAAAGATGACACTCTGTCACTGAATGCCAAAGGTTGATTTGCATGCCTCGTTTTAAATAATTAAACGGCAAAATAGTTTTGCCATCTGCCAACATCCATCTGGTGGAGGGAACACAAAGCCCTGAGTGAGAAGCCAGCACCGAGCAAGATCCACTCAGTAATATGGGAGATCCCAGCAAGCAGCTCAGGGATACCTTGTGGTGCTGTCATCTCTTCTCCTTGGAAACAGCTGGCAGCCCCAATAGTCCCTGCTTCCACAAGGTTACAAGCAGTTCTCCCAGTACAGGCAGGAAGGGGCTTTGTAGCAAGTCTATATAGTGGATGTTGGAATAAATGTTTTGTCATCACAAGCACTATAATGGCATTTATAAATGCAGGGACATGCCTAGCTTCAATAACCTTGTCCAGCTCTGGCTATGCTTACCCCTACTCTGTAAAAAAAAAAGAAACAGCAGCCAGAGAGAGGTCTAGGAGGTGATGGTAATGTTCTGAGACATGGAAAGGTCTCTGTGAAGAAAGATTCAGAAGGTTCAGACTGCATTTTACACAAGAGAAAAATAAGAGGTGACGGGAAAGAGGTAGTAAAACAATGAAAAGTGCAGAGAAGGCAACCTAGCCATTCCCAGTTACCCTTTCAAATACCCTTTCAAACAAGAGTGAGCAGCACGCTAGTGAAATTAAAAATGCATTTTATACACATCAAAGGAAGTGCTGGGGCTGGTTCACGGCTAGTTGTGACTGTGGCACAAAGCAGATTCATTGAACTAGAAAATTGCAGTACGGTATTTTTTTCTTGCTGTTTCTTTTACTTTTGGAACCCATTGTTTTCAGTAATTTTATAGAGTTCAAAGACACTCCTGCAAGTATTCAAAGTATGCAGAGTTATATAAGCATAGGTACCATCCTATAGAAGATATCCTCTCCAGCTGTACTCCATACCAGTGTAAAGAATGTCTGCTATGGGGAAGAACTGGATTCCGCCATGGACGGGGGCACTACAGTAGTGATTCTCTGTACAAGCAGCATAGCACCCCTACATCTATAAGGATTAACGCTGTCAGAACACCTCAGCCTCTCTTAGCAGTACTCCCACAGAGCCTTACTTCTGCAGGGCACTGAGCAATGCTAGCTGTGCTCGAAGTCAATGGGAGCTGAGGGCATCTGCCTTTTTGCAAAAACAGGCTCATCTCTTTCAAAAACCAAAATAATACAGTGCTATTACTGGCTGTGATAAGGAAGAAGCTTATTCCAGCAAAGAACACATCTTTCAGCACACCCTACCCCCGCTATTCTTTGCGTTGCAAGAACACCGCAGCATGCCTGTCACTGTCTAGGTGGGCACAAAGAAAAAGATATCTCTGTTCCAGATAGCATCACTTCTTATTGAAAACTGCCAACTGAATGCATTTTCCCACATTACCGTGACACTGCTTCCATCCAGTTTCATATTCCCCTCTATAAACCCAGCATCATGACACTGGGAGGTACTAGTGGCTGCTAACAGATGAAAAAGGGGGATTTGGCAAGAAAGCCTTTGAGATTATCTGTTGAGAGCATGGATGCCTTTCCTTTGGGCTGCAGTTGCCCCAAAAATATATTTAATTTTGTCAACTGTTTTGATTGCAACTCAATTTTTTCCTCACATCAAGGAGATTTGCAATGTATTCGGCCCCAGCCTTCCATGCTGCTAGCAGTATTTTTCATACGGGTATCAAAGGCATCTATACCAATGGACTTCCCATTCACTGCCAGATCACTGTAAGAGATAAAGTGGTTCTTCTGTTCTGGACTCTCATTATTTATGGCAGGTAACATCTCAAACTGCATCTTCCTTCTGGTGCAACCACAGCTGAGATTGACAGAACGGCTCTTTTGGGGATTCTGCTTTCTCTGATGCTCTATACCCGTAGCAAAAGGAAAGGGTCAGGTGGAAGAAAGCCAAAGCTGTTCAAGTCCCTGGTAGGCTGCTTTGCACCAGCCATGAAATATTTCTCCTCCAGAATTTAATGTTTTGTCAAAAGAGAAGGACATACGCTATCTTTTCACAAATGAACAAGGGGTTTTTTGCCCAGCACCTGAACAAGCAGAACTGGAGGAAACAGATGACTATTTCCTGTCAAAGTTTTGATGTTTTGTTGTTGTTATTCAACTGTGAATTTTGTCAGTGACAAAAGCTAGCTTTGCTCTGGCCTCCCATCTCTGTTTCTGGAGTCCCAGGACTTCCAAGAGCAGAAGGAATTTATTGGGAGAAAATAAACTGAGGAACATTACTTCTGCTTCAGAAGCATTTGTGTAATTTCATTCAAAAGTGTAACTTCATATTTCCACAAAAGAGCAGTAAAACTTGCTGTCAGTTTAGGCAATTGCAGTTGTTCACTGAGGTTCAGATGGAGGGCAGGTGCTAGCCTTCCCACCCCAATGAGTGTCTTCTCCAGCTCACTGGTGTCTTGGCCTCCCATTGCCATGGCTGGGGACAAGGACAAGCAGGCTCTTTCCTCCTGCAGATCAAGTGCTGCTGCTGGTACAGTGGGAGAAGCAGTGTGCATCCCTGAAACTAACTGAAGTGAGCCTGCTGTGATATATTTTAAACTGTTACAACAGTATTTGGCACTTTCCATTTAAAAGGCAAGTACTGAAATAAATTGAGGCAACTTCTTATTTAGATAGTAGGAACCTGCAGGATAAGGAAGGAAAAAGGCAAAACAAAGCTAAACAAGCCAAACCAGCCAGAATTCAAATCTGTGCTTAAAATCTCCCCTATCTATTTAAGTTACTGTACCAGCTCGGCTCAATATCTAAAACAAAGAAAATGAATTATGGAACAGTATGAGGAGAGCTTGTTAATTTTCCCACTGATGCACTGTGAAATGAAAGCTTTATTCTAAGAATATCATATCCTCAGGGCTCTGTCTAGGGAGACGCTGACAAATACAA